TGTTCATCATTGTTCATCAATGAGAGAATTCAACATCTTTCTGAATTCAGGGATCTTGTCTGCGTTTACGACCATCACTAAACCCATCAGCTGATAATTCTTCATCTGCGAGAATCGCCATTAAAAACGAAAGAGATCACAAATCAGAAACAGTTGAGATCGAAACTATGTGTATAAGCCGTAGAGATATAAACTTACTTCTTGAGAAGTAACGAGCTGTGAGTGCATAGGGAATGTGAAGGACCAAGAGCTAAGCTGCAAATGCATTTTTTTTAACCAATGTTTAGAGAATGATTTCTTCTTTTAACCAAGAAATCGAGTAATGATATATGCGAGACTACGTTACCTCGAGAAAAAGTTCATCTTCAGGCTTAAGATATACTGTTTCCTCAATCTCTTCTTCACCATGACGAGGTTTTCTCTGGTTAGGATTCTTCAGCTATATAACCAAGAATCCACATAATCTTGAGAGAGAGCTCGAGAACAAAACAAAACAAAATCGTATGGTAACACAAAATTACCTTGTATATCTTGGTGATTAGTAGATATGACTTGAAGCGGAATGAGTTTCGAAGCTCTTTTGTAGGCTATATATATAGAGAAGAAAACTTAAAACTGTTAAATTTCTATTGCTCATAAGAAACTTTACCTAATGTTTTATTTTAAAAGATCAAACCTCGTCTTCTGTAGCCCATAAGACTTCATCGAACAATCCATCGTACAGTGGAGGAAGAAGTTGTGGAGGAAGATTCATCACTCTTTGAGATACCAATAAACCAACATCTTGTGTATTTTTCTCTAAGAGCATTTTTAGATCACTCGCTCTATTCTTTTCAGAGCAAACTTTAAGAAGAAACTCTTTTAACTCTCTAAAGCACTTGTTGTCCTGAACAAATGCGAACAAATACATTTTAGAGCGCAAGCCTAGAAACCAAATCACCAACCTCAATGTAAGATTATATTACACAGAGAGCATTTCCGTGACTTGCCTTATATCTTGCCAAGTTGAGAGCCGTGAGAACAGCGAATACTGATTCGTCTTCATCCTCCGCTACTTTCACAACTGTTCCTACTGTTGTCTGTTCCAAAATCAAATCAACAAAACTGCTCAAATCCCACTCCTTGTCATCGAGATAGTTCTGTAATAGGATCTTGACTCCGTGAAAGTCCGTAGGTTTCGGATCAAAGAACTCAAACTCTGCTTGAACATCTCCCTTGAAAGATCAAAACATTGAAAAAAAAAGACAAATTAGTCAGCTTTTTCATATACAAAATCAACTAAAGAGCAAATAATCTTTTACCTCAGAGTCTTCATCATCCGAGGAATCTGAAAACTCTTCCTTTTTCTCTTTTTTCGATAAATTTGGGAGCTTTGCATCTACAAAATTAGAATGCTAACATACTCATCCGCTCACTACAATGCTTATGAATACAAAACTCACAATCTAAGTTTTACTTACCAAAAGACATTACTTCAGGATCAGAACATTGAGAGTCTTTAGGATGAGGCAATTTACGCTTAGACGTTGAAGCTAAAGCAAGTGACCGCATAAACGGTGTAAATGCTAAAGGTTGATTCTTTGAAACTCTTCTTCCTGATGGTCTCCGAGGCATCTTTATTTCAATTCAAAACTAACAAATCTCAGACTAAAGTCACTAAAAAACTGTCGTTCTCTATGAATTGAGCTCAAGGAATTGTAAATTAAGACCCTTAGTGAGTTTCCCTAATCAGAAAAAGAAACCGGAACTGGAAAATGCTTACCGATACAACAGAGAGCAGAAGCTAAATACCCTTCAAATTTTACCTTCTAATTAAACACGAACACGACTTAGACACGACCCACAAGCTACTAAACCCAAAACCTGAAAACACGACTGATTCGATTTCAATCTATGAGAGTGGGAAGAAGAAACAAACGACGTCGGTTAAGCCCCCAAAAAAAGCCCTAGGTCACACGACATCGTTTTGGTACGAAGCCCGTTAAAACGACGTCGTTTGAGTTTTATGAGCTAGGATTGGGAATGTTCAATAAAGTTGCAACCATTAAAAAACAGATCTCGCAGCCAAATATTTTTTACTTTCATGACAGTATAAAAACTATGGTAATATGAATATATGAGAGAGAATAATGGAAAGAAAAGTAAAGATTTTTCAGTACATAAAAGTAAATGTTTGCTTTATTTATGGTACAAGTACAACTATAATCCGTATACAAACTTTCTGTAATATATAATTACAGACCAAATAAATCGAATCAAAGAATGATATATCGTCACTATTCTACTTCTCACGTATTTCGTAAAAACATGTAAAAATAATAAAAGAACCTCATATATACTCCAAAAACCAAAAAATAATTGATCAGATTAATCAAACTAAAAAGAATATTACACCAACCACCATGACTAACCGCCTTCCTCAATAAACCTCCGGTGATCGGAACAAAAAACTGGCAGTGTCTCTTCATCTTCCGAACAATGTGAAATGACCAAAATGCCCTTTGAGCCTTTAAGCATCCGAG